ATAGATTATTCTGAAATTTGCCATTCTGCATAATTACTGCTTTTACTTTTGGAACTTCAAGTATATTTTGATGCTAATGCTGTTGTAGTTTTACATAAGGACGAAATTGAATGCAGGACTTGTACTTGTATTGAAGTATTTCTACACTGTGGTACTGGTACTTTCACTTCAGTACAAGAACTGAGCACTTGTTCCGAGGGCTGTTGATTTTAAAACTGACCAATCACAGAAGCGGATTAATCAGCTACTGTCCAGTCTCCAGTGTCTCAAGTCACCTTGAAAGGCAAGCAAATGCTGAGCAGCTGTGATCTCATGGGGAGGGCTGAGCAAGTGCTCGTCACGTTAGTGCACGTGGAGCAGAAATGCTCCCTCCCAGAATCCTTTTCTGCTCTCAGACATTGTGTGTCTGTGCTTGTAACACGTCAACACGCCTGTTTTTTATGTGAGACTAATTAAACACCATATTTATGATGTAGTATCACATCAATCAGATCAGCTGCAGTATACACAAACAAACAAATTTCTATTAATGGGGTGTGTCGGCCTGCTGTGAGGGGCTGCTATCTCATAAACTCACTCCGCAAGAGAAGACTGAGGAGCAATAATAAATCAAACGAGGAAACTAACATGCACTTCTTGTCCCTGGGGGAGAAAACAGTCCACATACTCTCATTACATGCTTTACATCACTTTATGTCACATTTTAAAAATGATATAAAAAGATTAGCCTACACCTCTGCACACAATGAGAAAGTCTCTCTGCTAACACAAACACACGCAGCTATAAAAAGAGTGCTCTCTGTGGTGCTGATGTCCTTCCAATTAAAACAAGCTGAGCTGAAGTCATTTTCTCCTTCTGCTGCTGCCTCATTCAACAAGAGCAAATGTTGTCAGTGAAGAAAAACCCACCCTGGCATCTGTGACTTTGAACTCTCTCAGGATGTACTGAGGCATGTTGTACTCAGCCATGGGGTCCACGACAAAGTACTGGTAGCGTGCAGAGCGCTCAGCAGGCCAGTACTGATGGCACTTCTCCTGGAGAATCAAGAGAGGAGATGCATCACGACATGTTTATAAGTACACAGCTGGTAAAAGTCAGGTGACAGAAATGGGTAGTCACTGTTGGGCAGGATTAGATGTTGTTAAAGCAAAAATATGCTCTGAGGTCACCCTGGACCCCCCACCTCATTCCCTCTGTGTATTCTACATGCACCCTGTTGCCTCCAAGTAAACTGCACACAGCTTGAATATCTGACCAAAAACCAAACCAGCCCTCTGTGCCAGTTGGCCCTAAGCTTACTTTGTACCATTTGAATGGTAGTAAATTGGCAAAACTTTATTTTGGAACAGTGATTTAGGGCTTTTGGGAGACTATGTATGAAACACCCTGATGTGGTGGAATCTCATCTCTTGCCTGATTTGAGAATAAATGTATGAGAGAGTGCACATTATGCACAGATTTAAGTTAAAAATATAGGTAAGAAAAAATAACCAACTCTACTAGAAGACATATACTTGATCTCCTCAATATTAACATAATCATTTGAAGTTTCTTGTAGTCTGTTAGATATGAAGTTTACAAGTGTGTCAAAAAAAATGTTCAGTAGTATAAGTTTATGTCAACACCAAACAAATTCTAATAAACCGACTATTCATTACAAAACATCCATACCTAAATGTAAACAGCAGCACAGCTGAGTGTTCCTAAGTACAGTTAAGATTATGTTAAATACTAATATTTATTATAATTTCTCCACTGGACATTCAGCATTAACACGATTTAAAATATATTTTACAAGGAAAATTATGCAACAAAGTATTTAAGATTTTTTACAATTTCTCATCACTTAAAAAAAGGAAAATAATCCTGAGCAACCCTGCTACAGAGATCAAATTATATCTAATTAGTTTTAACCTTAAAATACGTCCAACATTTTTATGTATTGTGTACATTTTTTTAACCAGAAAACTGTTGTAATTTTAATCCTGAATTTGCACATTTACACATTTTATTCTTGTTATCAAATGTGCAGTTTAACCAGAAATTCTGACTTTTTTGATATGTGTTAAGGTATAAATTGTTAAAAATAATAATAAATTGTTTAAAATCATTTTTTTATTAATTTAAAATCTGTTCAGAACACACTGAGGGAGAAGCATTATTTTTAGTGGGGTTGAAATTCATATAATACATGTAGACACAATCTGGCTATATCAACTAAAAAGTGCAGAAACTGTCAGTTAGACAAATCAATAATAAAGACAGTCATTTATACTTGTTGATTTGATGTGAGATAAGGCATGACTGTGATATGTTACCCGTCCCATCTCGCGGAGCTTGGTGAGCATGACTACGATGGTGGAGTTGTGTTCCCACAACATTCTCCAGAAGTCCTCAGTGGTCTCGGCTAATGGGCCCTGGGTGGCCATGTACGCTTTCTGCTGCCTGAAAATTGAAACAGAAACATGTCTGTGTTTACTCCTCAGGGTTCCTACAGCACTGCTGTTACTTGGATTCAATTTCAGCCCAAGCTGTGGTTCTGGTGCAGAATTTCATTTTACTGTGATAAAAACAAAGGTGGCAGTAGATAAATAATGATGCTGAGGTAAATTATATGTCGCTCATATTTATGCCATCATACTGTACAGTAGACAGCATCCAAAAAGCTTGAACCTTTTTTTTTTGGACATGCACAGCAGAATGAACATGTTCTTTCAAGAGTCTTTACTGTCCCTCTTTCCTCCTGCGATCAGGGCTAACAAACCTGACAGAAACAACAGGTCGATCAGACCCTAAAACATACTCAGGTGCCATAAAAATCTGATTTACTGGAGAGATTGTTGTAGGGCTGCACTGTCCAGACAGACTGTCCGACTGGTTGGTCCATATGCTCTTGACCAGGTTCTCATTGGTCAGTAAATCCATGGTGTTAGTTTCAAAAGGAGAAAACTGCTACATCAGTGCATTCTGGGATAAATCCAATATTTCTGACAGCAGAAGGAATGAACTACATGTGAACACCCCTGTGTTTTCATAGCTTTAAACTGGCCCAACCTAACAGAGACTGCTAGTGATAACTTATTTAATGCTCACTTGGAGTTGGCTCCAAACTAACTGACACAGTTAGGTCCCAGCTCTGCCAGGGTCCAGGGAAGCCACATAAAACCAACAAAGGTATTTATGGCTTGGTAATATGATTAACAAACAAATTATTAATTATTAAAGGAAAACAGGGCTAAGGGGTGTTGCTAAATCAATGAAAAGTATAAAATTAAACTGGCGCTAACAAAGATTGGAAACCTCAGAAATACACAATGTCAAAACACCCAAAAAACTATGCTACCTACCAAAACCAAAACAACAGCAACACCTCCCCCTACACCTGGTGGGTCTAACAAAGGATGCTGACAGTTTGTACAGGTGTGAGGTTAACTCAACCTGGTTCTCCAGACAGTAGAGAAACTGCCTCAGTTTAATAAATCACAAAGTTAGTGCAAGGCCATGAGAACCACCTGCAAGTGGCAACAGAAGAAACCAAGATAACAAATAATCACTAGCAGGCAGACACCTAAATGCACAAGGTGACAGGTAGACGCTAGCATTAGATTGTAGAATGCAAAAGGTAACCCTTGTTAAGTGATAGAATACAAAAGAATAGAATAGAATAATTATTTCTTGATCCCCCATTCGGGAAAATTTACATGCCACAGCAGCATCCAAAAATATAGAAAGTACAAGAAAATAACAATAATTAAGTAATACGCATCCCCAGTGTCCGCACACAGCAGGTCCAAGGCCCCACCATCTCCAGCTGGGCAGTCCACATACTGGCTGAATGTGGGGAGAGTGGTGGAGAGCGATGTATGATTAAAGTCTCCTGAGATGACGATCAGCGACTGAGGGTGTGATGTTTGCAGCTGGGACACTTAACTATGGATGAGTTCACAGGCTGCAGCAGCATCAGCCAAGGGGGGGATGTAAACTGAAATCGCCAGGATGTGCAAAAATTCCCTCAGCAGGTAAAACGGCTGCACACCAACCGCCAGCATTATAGGATTACACAAAATACACAAGACAACGTGAGGCACAAAGGCGAGCTTTTGATGTTGAATCACAGCTGTCTGGACTGACAGGTTGGCTGCTCTTTCAAACCCAGGTGTAGCGACTGCTGCAATTTGATCAGGGTCACGGGGGGAGTCAGGGAGAGGAACCAGGGTTTGAACACACAGCTGAAGCTGTAGATCAAACAGCCAGGATAGCAGGCAAGACATGGAGAACACACAGGAGATAATCCTGATCAAGAGCACGCACATACCATTTTACACAAGAAAGTTCTGTGGTCATTACATGTTCAGACAATATGGGCAATGAAATGCAAAGTGACCCTTCCCCTGTGCAATAACAACAAGACATGATAAAAACATTTCTTGAAAACAGAAAAAGTCATAGTCAAGTGCAGTTTAAATTGTGCACGAGTTGCAATCATGTGTTTGTTATGTTCATGCACACACATGAAAGTGGTGAGGAAGGAATCAAGGTAGAGGAGCCATATGAGACACCATGGTAAAGCTGCCATCAGTGTGGCTGCATTTTGTTCTAACAAATGGCCAAAAAGTGAAGTATAAACTTTGCAAACGGCAGTTTGTATATTACAGTTCAACAGCCAACATGGCAGATCATTTAAAAACAGCAGCTAACTTGTCTGTGTTTCATTCCCCAACAGTTCTTGCACTGGGATCACAAGTTGATATACTGTAGTTCTATTTTCAGAATCACAGAAATATGTGCAGGTGCAACCTGGTCTGCTCTGAGTCTGTTGTCATTTCACTACAAAAGAACAAGGCTCAAATGATTTAATATTCTGCAAATATGAGCTTTTTATGTTCATTTACAATCCATTTTGGCTCACTAGGCTAGCAGGTACTCAGTGTACAGTGGGTACAATTGGAGTCAAGCAAAACATTTTTGACTGCAAAAAACAAAACAAAGGATGTCGGAGGAGGCAGAGAGAGAGGTTTGTTCTGTGAAGATAGAAGAATTGTCATTATTCTGAGTTTGTGTATGTCAAAGAATAAAAGAATACTGTCATCAGTTGCAAACGTGTTCCAACTGTGATAGTTTTTTAGTTTCGCATCAGCAATGTGAAACTAAAAAAAAACAACCAGTTGTGATGGGGAGGCCTCTACTGCCGGTGATGCCTACAATTTATAGCTGGACATGGTGGACAAGAAGCTCACAGAGACGGTGCTCCTCCTCCTGCTTCCAGAGCTGAGTCACCCTCATCTTAACACATTGTAGAGAAAATACTCTTGAACAGCAAAGTCAAACTGCCACAGAGGAAAATGTTTGCTGGCTACCATGTGGTGATGGAATCTAATTTGAAAGCCACACTCACATAGCAGGCATTTTTAACATTTATTGGCTCAGACTGACAATTTAGAATTAGAATTGCAGACAGTACAAATTCCTGATAAATCTAGTTAGAAATAGCTGTAATTCAGCTTTGACCAGTAAAAATAATAGTTTTGGTTGCAAAAGTAATGAGTAGCTGTGGTGGATAACATTGTTAGAAAATATCATACAATTAAAGGAGCTCATCAGTGAGGAGTTTGTGGAGAAGGACAGCTTCGTTCGTTACAGACTTGTAGTCACAATTTACTAGCACTTTGTCCTCAGGCTGCTCTGACATGAAGGTGAAACAGCTTCTCATATGTAGTTATGGTTGAAGTGCCGTATGTATGTTTGAAAAGTGAGCAGCCACTTCAGGTAGTTTCTGACGTAACTACAGATATAAGCAATGTCATTTTGTCTGGTCAAAACTCACATTCAAGGTCTGTATCTTATGTATGTATAATCTGTAGTTACATTTTGACTAGGCTGAATTCAGCATATCTGCAGTGTTAATCTGACTCATTAGAACTTAAAGATATCTAATAATTAGGGGAATTAAGGAGAGCTTGAAAAAGAATCAAGTGATCTCATTTGCATAAATAGAAGAATAACATTGTATATATCTGAAATGTTTATTTTTTGACAAGGAAGAAATGAATTATGGCCATCAATGAAATGGCCTGCCATACGCTCAGACAGGTACGGTTTCCTGCACAGCTGACAACAGAGTCTATTTTGAGGTGCTTTTCATTATACTATTGTGTCTTCTCCCATTATCACATTTTAGCTCCTTCCAGGGAAAATGTGAGAGAAAGGTTTGAGGAAAAGATACGAGGACGGAGGAGCTGATGCTGTCAAATGTGAAATCCTTCATTCCATAGCGTCACTCTTAAGCAGTGCTGGTTGCTTATGAAGTGCTGCACAGCTGCATCGCCTGTCAAATCAAACCGACTCCCACAAAAATGTAGCTTTTATACTTGATGAAGACTTCTGTGTGGGATATAGTTGTGTTTTTTCACTCTAAACGTATTTTGGAGTTGTTTTGTCTCCTCATTTTGTATTTAAGCAGTAGCTGATTTATACTAGTGCACTGTGGCCCGTTTGATTCATATCAGGATAATGTGCAGATTTCTTTTCTTGCCTGAGAACGATCACTTGGTTGAAGGGTAGGTACAATTTCCATCCACAAAGACTTTCTTTGGTTGAGTATTCAACATCTGACACACTTTCCATTATATATATATATATAAGTATCACAGATTATCACAAGCTGCCCAAAACAACACCCCCGCCTTATTATGTCAGTTCATATTATACTGTAGTGGTTCATATTCCCCACAAAACATGTAATTAACCAAAATATGAAAAACCAGCTGATGTTCAGAGACTTTTGGGCTTTTTGGGCCCTTGGAGGTTTGGGTTGCCCATGTTGCACCCTTGAAAATCAAATTGAATTCTTCCTCACCTCTTTTTTGCCATCATAAAATATGAGCAACATACATCAGCCTAAAATGTACGTTAGGAATAACTGTCAGACACATTTACAGTATGTGAGGCTGCAGTAATATTAAACTGGATTTACCCTTTAACACTTCCATCTAACAGCTTCTTGTTCCAGGCAACGATGTCCCACAACTGTTGAATGAACCTCTCAGGTGTTAAATATTTAATTTTACACCCCCCCTTAAAGTAAATTTGACGAGTCAGCTGCTTGCTAATGTGTGCACTGATATTTAAACGGTTTTGCTTGAACACAGACCCTTTTTAACAGCACCGTTAAAATGACAGATGCCACCCCAGCTGCTCTGCCAGGCTCAGGGCACCGCACAGAAGTAGTTATAGGGTATGGCCACTAGGGGGCAGTGTTGACACATGCAGCAGAGGTGGAGTTTCAGAAAGTTTCAGTGCACCACACAAACTGACGTTTTCTGTTTTCTGTGTACATCAGTACTCTGTCATTTGTGTGTGCCAGTGATGGTTGGAGGCTCTGTTGTTCTTGGCTGCATGTTTGCCCTCGTCCTGTTCTCAGGTTTACAAGCACCGGAACTACTATTTGAATACTTCATAATACAACAACCAAACATAAACCGAAGAACAAAAGCTGCTTGATGGAAGTCCAACTCCTCTGACAGTGTGTTCACTTTACCTGCAGGCTGTTCTGGCTGACCACTGCTGAAGGACGGAGGCAGTTTGACCAGCAGCAGCTTGGATGAGTTCATTTAACGTCAGACGAGGGAGCTTAAATGTTGAGACTCTGTGCATTCAAGCAAACAAAGAGTTTGGCTGCTAATGAGCACCCAAAACTCATTCAGCCAGATAGAACTATATCAAAATGCTGAAATTCAGGCTATTTTTCTACTTATACTGCCACAAAAACCAACAGTCTGTCTCTCAATATTGTGTGAGTGGCCATGTTAAACTGAAGCCACAAGCAGAGCTGGGAATAAAGCAAAATAGAACTCCAACACAAGGTTTCATTTTTAAAAAATAATCTTCCGGCAAACAAAACACATACACTGAAGGGATATAAATACAGAAAGAGACCAGCATCGTTGTGGTTTCCAGACATCATGAAATAATGGCTGCAGGTTTCATTAAAATATTTACACACATATTTCATTCCCTGCATTCTGGTGACTTTTTATGCATCCGTTTGTTCATTTTCTGCATCAGTTTATGGGGAAAATGTCTTTATTAATGTAATGAGAACACAAAATTCAGGCACTAGGAAACAATTCAAAGCGTAATGGAATATCTATGAATCTAATTGCATTTTCTACAATAGATTCAGTGGTTGCATGAGTTCATAATTCATATTTTGAGAAGAAAAAAAGAAAAAAGACCCGCCGCTGTTGGAGGCATTGCTTCATTTATAAGTAATGTTATAGCGTTTTTTGAAAATGAAAGTCTTCTGCCTAAATTTGAATTTCATTTTAAGTAAGAGGAAGAAGTCACAGGGAGCCAAATCTGGGGAGTGGGGCAGATGGAGAGCAGAGACTGTGTGGCTGTGGCAAAAAAAACCCCAAAAACATGTGTAATCACCACATTGTGATGGGGTTACATAGCACAATAGGACTAACTACATGCCACCGCACTACCATTTGTGGCTGTTTGTACCAAATTTTCTCCTTTAGATGTTGCAGTGTGAGTTGACAGTCCAACCCTGAAGGACGAATTCCTGGTGCACAACCATGCGAATGTTTAAGAGAATAACAAATGTGCTCCTGCTGTTTGGTCTGTGGGTTGTAGCCGCAGACTCACCTGACGTCAGACATGAGGGCTGGATCATGCTGCACCGCTGACTGACACAGAATGTGATGTTTGCTTCATGCTCCAGTTTGAGCCTCATGCAGAAAATTTCAAATTCACCAGGGTCTGCAGCTAATGATTGTCTTCATTGGCAATTAATCGGTTGATTATTTTCTCGAATAATTAATTAGTTGTTTGGTCTATAGTATGTCAGAAAATGGTGAAAAAATCCATCGGTGTTACCCAAAGCTCAGGATGGTGTTCTTAAATGTCTTGTTTTGTCCAAAACCAAAAAAATTTTCAATTTATAGTCATAGAAAGGAAAAGAAACCAGAAAGGAAGATTTAGACTTAAAAAAAAAAATACACAGACCTATTCATGATTATCAAAATAGATGGAAATTTATATATTTTGAATAATTGGTTAATTGTTGCAGCTATAAAATGTACCTGCCAGCGGTTACAAACGTGTGCAACAGAGCTCCTAATGTTGATAGTACAACATTGCGTGGTCTCCGACTCATTACAGTTACTGCTTGCACATGTAGCAAGTACAGGACTGTGATGCGCTCGGGGCGCACACAACTTTTTAATTAACTGTACAACTCTTACAGTGGAGACAAAGCGTAAGTATACATATAGAGTGAGTTTGTGGGTTTGTAAAACAACATCTCAGGTCCACTCACCTGATACTGACGACTGATAGATATATATACTGACAGAAACAATGGTCAATCCAACAGAAAAGTTGTACAAGATACAACCCTCAGCTGCACAGTTATAAAGGGAACTGCAGGAGAGTGTTGTCAAAAGATAATAAGTGATTCAAGTACAAAGTCCGTTCTATTTCTGGAAGTTTTGTCTAATGTAGAGGTAATCCTGGTGTAAGCCTCTTGTCTGGTTTTCTATCTTGCACCATCCTGGACCAGCACTGAAGTGAATGACTACTGCTGATATACCTTGAGGTCACTGGACACCTCCACTAATCATCATAATCATGTGTATTCCCCTCACCTTAATCTACTCTAATCCACGGTGTGCACTTTGAAGGCTAAGCTCACAGAGCTCTAGAGCTCCCCATATCTCTCCCCACTCTTAATTACTGACACAGGAATTAGAGGGGAATTACACGACACCCCTGCCTCCTTCCCCATCCTCCCTTAGGTGGAGGCGCCCAGGGGACTTCATTAGGTGCTGGCAGCCAAAAACAAGATACACCCACCCTGCAAGTAAAAGGGGAAGTCCGGATTCATTAGCCGCTGCTTTACTGTGCTCGTTCGCTGTGAAGTATTTCCAATTAGTGTCTACGTTCTAACAGAAGATAGGTTTCTCTGAAAAGCCTGTGATTGGTCATTTATTTGACATATGACAATATCAGTGCTGATTTTGAGTATATGAAATTGTGTAAGAGAACCAGACAAACACATTAAAACAAGAAAACAGCAGGCTGACACAGACATGACATGGCTTTTTAGAAGGATTTTTGGCTTAAAATGGAAAATTACATGTCCAGGCTCAGTTTAATTCAGTTAAGTTAGTAATCAGATGCTGGTACTTATAGTTATTGTGACTAAGAATTATGTAGTTACGTACTTTTTGTATGGATTGATTGATTCTACAGGATATTTGTCAGCTGAATATATTGTGTACACACAATTAATGCCCAGTCTGTGTTATTGTCAGCATATGGTACCTACACTATATTTGGTTGGTCGTACTTTTGTACTTTTAGTAAAGGATAAATTAAAATGCATGACTTTTAACAGAGAATTCCGACACTGTAATATTGGTACTTTCACTAATAGATCTGAGTATTTCTTCCACCTCCGTTAATAATATGGGGCTCCATTGTTGTCCAAACACTATTAAAAACACATCAATAAGCAACACGGTGGTAGTGAGTGATTTGCTCATTCATTACCATGAACACACACTTCAGTTTACTTTGGCTCAACCCCACACAAACCATCCTGCTGCCCTAAATATTCACTAAAGCACCTGGTTCCAAGCGCCCCCAGATGACTCATAGTGGAAATTAATGGGGGCTCCACATGCTACTTCACTACTTTTTTTTTTTTACATTTTTAATTTGTTTCATACTTGCCCCCCCACCGAGACTTTCAAGACTGAGCCTGCAGTTCAGCCTTAAATGTTTACGTTTTTGACAAATGTGGAAATGAGACCTGAAGAATAAAGTGATTTTGATAACACGTCACAATTTTAAGTTTAGATTTTAGTGGTGATTGGTCCAATGATGGAAAGTTGAACAACGGATGACTCCTACTGTTTTTCTGTTTTATACAGCTTCTGGCTCATATAAATGGTGTAGTTTTGGCAGTCTATAAAATAAATATGCATTTGCTGGCACATTTGAGGGTTTAGAAGGTTAAACTGTAATAAATGTAAAATGAACATTTTCTGTGTTCAGAGGGACGAACTGATCCCTGCCTCTTGAGTGAAAAAGTCTCATGGACACAGACAGTGTAATCAGTTCGTTTCTCTGACATGTCGCTGATCTCGAACAGGCTATCCATTTACAGAACGGGAAAAACAGGCAGAATTAACAGGCTTGCCAATAAAACCAATTTGTTTTGACAACTGACACAACAAAAGGATGTGAGGAAGTGAAACACCGGACTCCATGTCAGCCTGTAATTTACTACCGTCGGCTGAAGGTCCAGCCCAATGCTCATTAGAGCTGCAGCTGCCGAGTGGATATATGTCTACCATCCTTAGATCGTTTTTGCAGAATCCCCTCTGCTGTCTGTGTCCCTTCTGCAGTAAAAGGATTTCTGTGGACTCACCTGTATCCGTCAATGAAGCTGGCATTGATGTAGTCGGAGCCCTCCACCCCTCTGATTGGCTGCAGGCAGACGCGAGTGGATTCAAAAGGCATGATGTTCACCAGGCGGTTCTTGAATTTGTTACACGGCAGGTTGGCACTGATGAATCTTGAGGTATGTGCTTTAGAGTTGGCCAGTTTCTGCAGAGACAGAAGGAAGGACACATTTGTCTGTGATGCTCCTCTCTCAGGAGTATCAACTACACCCAATGTCTCCGCTGCCTCTGGTCTTTTATAGTGCTAATGCAGCTAGTTTTGGTGGAGTTTGGTGTCTGAACAAGGTTGTTAAAGGGCAGAAAGAGGCAACACTCTTATTAATGCATGAATGATGCACTTTGAACTGATCCTTTTTGTTCTTTGACTTCAAATGAACGCCTGATGCTGCACCATGTTACACCTCATATCCTGAAGAAAACAAACCCACACATTTACAGTGAGCGGCAGCAGACAGGCCTGTGACAATGCAGATCAAACGGTGGTGCATAAAACTTGTGAAAGCCACCCCAATTGAGGCTGTTTTTTTTTGTTGTTTTGTTTTGGTCCATCTTTGCTGACAGGCCTTAATGTGATTCCTCTGCACTGCAAGGGCAAGTGTCAATTTGAGAAGTGCTTGCGAGAGAAATTTGCAGTGAGCTGAGGATCAAAACCTAATTATGCTCTGTTCGGATTTACAGCCATCCTGCTTGCTTGAACAAGCAGCATAATTTGGGATGTGGCATGCCCCCCAAAGACTGAACTGGTTAAATCAGTGTGGTGTCACTCGGTGTGGAGCGAGCAGGCGAGGACGGTGGGATGCTGCAGCTCATCCCATGTAAAACCACCTACCCTCGTAGGACCTTATCTCTGTTTGTCCCAGCTCTCTCTCCTTCTCTGCATTTCCTGCACTCTCCGTCTCGTTTGACCTGTCATCTCAAGCTCAGGAGTTAATCTCCTGCAGCTCCTCCTCTGAGAAGGAATGCAGCTCTGTTATGCAGGCTGAGGATGAAAATCCCTCGTCTCCCTTTGCTTCCACTGCATCACGAACTTGAAGGTGCACTGTCATGATTTCGTATTGCATTTTCATGAAGATTAAGAATAACAACTCATAAAAATGGATGCAACAGAAGCCAAGAAATCCTGACTTTTACTCCCTCGTACTGCTGTAATTGCTGATTCTGTCTTTGTGCTCCAAAGTCAACAACATGACAAAAAACAGCCTCTTATTATATTAAAATATATGCAGGGTGAGAGGCCTCTTGTCTCAGGTAGATACAGTACAATGTTTGCATGCAGACAGTCTGACCCAGAGTAATTAACATCATTTAATCAATGTTATTAATGTCATTAACCACCGTAATGGAGCATCATTAATGTAATTAGTAGCACTGCTGCCTTTCCTGCTAAGATAAGTCAAAATGTCTGCTGTGAAAAGAATCTATAAATAAAAGCTGTGATGTTCGCAAGGTTTGCAAGATATATTACAGAATTGAGTTTAGGTCTCTCTTATTTGTTGACAAAGCCAAGCATGCCTCAACACCTGGCTACCTTTCAGATCTTCTCTGCTTCCATTTTACCTCCAGGCCTCTTAGATCCTCAGAACAGCTGCTGTTAATTATTCCACGATCAAATCTGGCGGCTATGAGAGATCGTGCCTTTCCGCTGGAAGCTCCAAATCTTTAGAATAACCTTCCTGTATCAATCACTGACACTTCTAAGGAAAATCTCAAGACATAAATGGTTTCAGTGACATTGGGTTGCTCTTTGTGGTCTTCATTTTGAATTGGATTTCAAAAAATTCTCATCCCAGCTTTCTGTTTTCTGTCTGGACAATACATCAAATCTAAAATGTAAACAAGGCTTTTTTGCTCTTACTGTCTGTGCAGTAGGATACTTTTTTTTTCTTTTTTTTCAGTGCATTTTTCATTCGTAAAACTAAAAAAAACACAGTTGGAAGTCTTCATAGTGTTATTTTTAATACAATTCCGTGTACAATTCAGTTTTCCTGACTCATTTAGTTCCCTGTTTCCCCAGTTATTGACTGCTTGAGCATGACAGAACAGCTTGGAAGCCACTGGGTTAGACTATTAAAACACGCTCCACAGTGTTTGACCCTGAAAGACTGTGTGAGGGGAAGCTGCATTCATACAGAACTTTTTGCTTTTTTTTTGTTACTGTCTGTTTTACATAATGATCTTATGGAGCAGAAAATGTTTTAAAAATTGCCTGGAGTATCTTTTTTTTCTTTTAAAAAAAAAATCTGCTTTGTTTTTTGCAGCTCAGGGCATTTTTTATTCAAAATTTCAACTTCTCAGGAAACACAACCTTTGTTAAGCGCTTTTGACAGTTGGCCAGTCACATGGAGAGTAGTGAGACTCTTTGGTTCACTAACTACAATAAAAAATGGAGAAGGTTGTGGTAGAGAGGTTTTGTGCTTTTGTGAGCAGATCTTTCAACTGGCTCTTGCTCAGTCTGAAGTATCCTGCAAAACCACATATTGTCCAAACAGATGTTCAACAGCATACTGTGCCTCTCCTGTACAATATGCACCCACAAACATAGATGAAACTGTGTAAGGTTTGTGGTTTTGTTTTTACACAGTAGCCCCACTATTCATCATTCCTCCCTGGCAATCCCTTCCTTTCTTGTAGAAACAGAAAAAAACAATATTTTTGATGCAAAAAATGGATAAATACAGGTAGCAAACTAATTTAGAGAAGGAAAAAAACCAAGACAAGATGGAAAGGGGGAAAACAAACGATGAAAAAGAAAAAGAAAAAGAAAACAAACAAACGAAAAAAACCCACATAAAACAGAAAAAATAACGGGTAATACACCTTTGCATTGTTTTCTGGTTGGTCTCAGAATTACACTGTGCTTTTATAAAGTCTGTTTTTATTTTCACAACAATAGTGTTATTTCATGATGTCATTCAAGCTGTACAAACTCACCAGAACAGAAAGTACGCACCTTAAACTCCAGTTCCATGGCTGTGACCGTGTCTCCAGGAGGGACCTGGGTGAGCTTCTGGATGTGGGCATACAGGTTGCGGGCAGGGACTTCTGTGTTGCCACACGTTGCAGCTTCTAGCAGGGCCTCATGGATGAATATGTACTGATCCTCCGTCTGCACCATGTAGTTCCTCTGAGCTCGCATACACGTCACATGGCCGTATATGTCCACCGACTTCTCGTGTTTCATCCTCTCCAGCATGGCGTCGATCACGATGAAGCAGCCCGTCCGGCCCACACCAGCGCTGACAAAGAGATAAACATGGATGTCAGCAAAAGCGAGCTGAGTATTGTCGTCTGACATGAATCGACTTCCCTTTTCTCCCACAGCTACATCCTGACAGTGCAAACATTAAAGGATGGCAGTTCAGAGGCTCCACCGATACAGAGTCCCACCCTCTGTCTGAGGCCTGTCTCCCCTTCTTCACTACATATACCTCATGAGGGTGCGTCTCTGTTCAATGTATGCAGGAAAGAAACAAAATAACCTAAAATACTCCTCAGACAATATCTGGTCAGTCGTGTCATCACAGTTCTGAAACTGCCAAATTTCAGTCAATCTCCCCATCACAGTCATAAAAACATATCTCTACTACCAGCATTTGGTGGTGAGATACACTTAAAAATATAACAATGTCATAATATCAAATATATTTTTCCTTGATATTCAGACGAATACAAAAAATTGCAAATATTATAATATCAAATAATAGAAGATCTGGACAGCCTAGACTATCCTGGAAATGAAGGTGGTGAAATTACCCTGAAAATAGCTTGAGGCTCATAGGGTTAAATTGGTCCAAGGATCAAATTAAACTTAAACCATGCTTTTACTTGCCGTTGCAGGCTGCAGTCGCTTCATCTTTTAGTTGCAACACCAAATGGAAGTTTCTAACCAGCCTATTATATTAGGTAGCGCTGCTGCAGGTCCTTTGTCCCTGCTGCTCCTCATCATCATCCACCACTTTGCCTGACAGTACCACTGTCTGCACTTTGTTCCTCCACAGCAAGATACAACGAAACACTGGGTATTTGTACAGAAAACAGAGCTAATATTCCTACGCTCAGTAGGAACAAATAATTGAGGCTGTCTTCTTGTCTGTCTTACATTATGGTGATGTTATCTATAAACATGCCTCTGCCCCCACTCTTGAACCTTGATTCAGTTTATCACGATGCCCTAACATTTACTGCTGGTGACAGTTATTCTGTATGATGTGACAGGCAGCTATTTTTATTTATTTTTAAAGCTCTAAATGGTTGTTTGTCATCACATATCACGTTTTTTTTACACAAGTGTCAGTAGAAGTAGAATATTATTTGTTTTCTGTTACATGAATTAAGGCATTTCGTGCATAAATTAATGCAGAAAAGGTGCAGAAGATTCATCAGAAAGCAGGAAGTTAGGTGTTTAATGCTTCAGGGTGAATACAATCTATGTCCCGGTTTCCTTCTTTAACTGGTCCTATAACCGTCATTGGACTCGTTCCAGTGATTAGCTGCTGCTCAAAGTTCCTTGTGTAAAAAGTAAAACAAAGTATTTGGAAAACAAATACTTTTGTTTTTTGTACAACATAAAAGTGGTATATAAAAACTTGACACACTTTTAGGTTAATTTGAAGCCATTTTTTACAAACTACTTTGTTCTTAATTGTAAGTGTTGTTAACTGTGTTCTGCTGTTGTCTGTTTTAATTTATACGCTTGACATCACTTAAAATGAGGACAAGGTTGAATGAATGAATCAATAAAAACATGTCTCTCATATGCAGATTCTATTAACTTTTGTATCGTTTTATTTTGCAGCATATTTTTTATTTATTTTTTGTATTATTCTATTAAATGTCTTAACCGAAATACTTTGGCATTGGTGATTATGAGGAAAATATGTCACAATAACAAGAAAAAAACGTGATTTTATAACATGACAAGGACCAGATTCATATCATTCATATTACCATGTCAAGGTGCAGACAAAGAAGATGTACAGGTTTTGTTTTAAGCTGAGCTAGACACTGGTCCTTTTTTCAACTATAATGTGCCACTTCTATTCAAACTCTGGTTTAAACTTTAAACTTACTTTTATCTATTTCAATCTTCTATTTTTATGTTCTCTTAATTCGAATTGAAATGTTTTTACTCAGTTTTTCTTTCCTTTTGAGCATGCACTATGTAAAGCACTTTGAATTGTGCGTGAACAAACACACTAGCCTTACTTTGTATGTTTACAACGACTGCTTTCTGTTACGACATTACAAAATGCAATATAATTCTGAGTTACACACATATTTCACAAGCGTATGCGGCGCTACACTGTGACACTGCTGACCTCAGTACTGCACAGAAGACGTGATGTGAAGGTCTCTGAAACAGCAGGGAAGGAGCACGCTGCCTACAGGAAAGTAGACTGGGTTCTCAGATCTTTGCTTCTCTTGTTCCTTTGATATGTTTGCTATAAAGCTTCACAGGTCAGCCGGGTTGGTAAATACCAGCGTGCAAATAAGACTTTCAAGGATTTCAGGAAAGTTCTGTGTTTTATTTTTGTGTATTACATTTATTTTGATGAATCTGAATAACATTCAGCAGTTAATGCCAAGTATTTTAGCATATTTGTGCGTAAAGTGTAAAACGTCTTTCCTCTGGTCGCTTTAAGGCTTTAGTTTAACAGACTAGGTCGCAACAGACTGTATTTTCTGACCATGTTAAGTATTAAAACTGGAAATTGAGGTGAAAAGGCTTCTGTGAAAGTCTCCTCCTTGCTGCATTCCACTGCCTTCTTCATTTACCAAACACCTAGTGTATTTAAGGTCCAAGCAACGAGCGGTGCAAAGGCCTCTTACATCTATAGGGATAATTATTGTCATTCCAAATGAATTACATGTTTGAGCAGCTAAAGGTGCTCATGAACCTTTGCAGTCCTGACTTTAGGTTCCACTTACAGGTACCAAATTCAGCAGACACATGTATCATTTCCACATGGAGGAAAAAGCCTCCTGAAGTCATACCCCAAGTACCTCAGAAAGTCAGCCATTTGTACTTTACTGTTGAGTTTTGGACCAGTGTTTGCCATTTACAGGGGCTGTACTGTAACGCTCTCCTCTTAGATAAATAAACAGAGCAACTTCAAGTTTGGTCAGTGTCATATAACGCTATTGCAAAACAATCAGAGCTGGGACTTATCATTGTATGCTGTTGCCATGATGATGTTTTGCCATTAAAATGGAAGGTGTTGGTACTAAAATATACATCATCCAATGTACTCTTCTGGAAATGTCCAGCTGGGAGCATTTGACAGGCCTTTGGAGGTGCAGTGCTTTTTCAGCTGAGATGTTTTGGTTGCTTTGACATGGAATATTTATGGAGCAGGAGTAATGTGTTGCAACTAGCTACCTAATTTTGCAGGTAGTTTGTTTTATCAGCAAGTAGTGACTGTAAAAATGTCAGTACATGATTGAGTAAATGCTAAGGCCTTTGCCCTGAATGCTGGAGCATGTAGAGAGAGGACAGACTCACTCTGATCTGCTTGGCTCCATGAGATTTTGTGGCAGGGAAACATCCTACCACTAAGTAAGTACCACTGCTTAGGTTCAAGAGTTGAAGTTTGTCAGGTAGTTGTGGTGTTTGTCCAACTAATCCTTGTGATTGGACAACTGGGTAAACAGTGACAGTGACGAGAGCAGCATTTCAGAACATATTTCAGCTCTCAGCACCCAGAAAAAGGCTCCTAGTTCTCAGCGTAGAACAGATTCTGTCAAAGACTCTTCATACTACTGCCGTTTGTGTAATGTAAATATGAGGTTCTCATTTTGGAAACAACTGAAAAAATATGGTAGACACACCTCCTAACTGGCTCCTTTAATATTCCCTGTCCTGATATGGTGACCTCATATTTCAAGTTTTCCATGGGTGCTTAAAAATGATCTATGGGAGAACTCTATAGCACAGGTGCCTGTGATTCATGCTGTTACAATGTACAATGAATGTCGCATTCCCCATCCTTCAAAACCTTCACTCGCTCCTGTCCCGCAGAGAATTCACTTCAAAATCCTTCTCGTCACCTACTAAGTCTCAACAGCCCATTATTATTATTATTATTATTATTATTATTATTAATAATAATATGAGAAAGTTTAAATCATGCCTCCCTTCACATCTACACACACCTGCAGAGCCACTTTAAGAATGCTGTTCATGGCATCCTGTATATACTGCATATATGCTTCATCTCATATCCTATAGCTCGTTTATACAGTTTATTCTAGCCATACTATTTATACTAATAATGCTTTTCATACCGATATTTATTTCCACCTGTAGATTTAGATCATCTGTCTTACATTGTATTCACAAATATTAGTGTGTTCATAGTGTTCTGTCCATACAGTCAATTCTACAGTATATATATTGTATATACCATACTGTAAATAACACACTTTACAGCTGCTTTTGCACTTCTGCTTAGAAGCTAAACTGCATATTGTTGTCTTAGTACTTGTTCTCTACGCAATGACAATAAAGCTGAATCTGCTCTAATCTAATTTAAACGGTTACACAAATCACTGGATGCTGCTGGAAACGTGTATTACGATAATGTCAGATAATGCGACACACACTTGGCTGCATGTTGGAGGTGTGAATGTAACAGGCGGCTTACCTGCAGTGAACCACCATGGGTCCAACATCTGGAGGGTTACAGGCCTTGACTCTGCGTAGAAAGGCCAGTGTTGGGGTGGGATACTCAGGCACGCCGTGGTCAGGCCAGGCCAGAAACTGGAACTGTCTAACTTCTCTTTTCTCACTGGAGCCGTTCTGTTGGAGAACACACACACACACACACATTCACTCACATTTGGTCATTTATAAAAACTTAATTCAGCACACTGAGAAATCCATGATTTGATTATATATCCATCAGTGCAGTGACATAAATGCATTAGAGTCACTAACTGATCAATCATCTGACTCATTAATGTGAGGATCTCACATTAATGTTGTGTATTAACATAGCTTTTACCACAACAACACTACACAGCCCAGTTTATGTGCTCCAGACCAGTTAATGGAAATGAGCCTAAATCACATTTTCTTCCTTTATTTTATGTGACATTTCAAAAGTTCTTTTTGAACTTGTTTGATAACTATATGGAAACACAGCTCGTAACTGGGTTGGTGTGTGTCATTTAGAGGACAGGCTGTTTGGGAATTCACTGATTCATCTGCATGGTGAGGAGTGTCTTTGTTAATGTTCAAAAGAAGCTAGTTGGGTTTTTATGACCAAAGGAAGATAAGATTTGACAAACTTGTGGTGTATTTTAGTGGTGTTGGAGTGAACGCACTCATGATACATGTTTAAAAAGGGCTTTAGTGCTCGTTCAGAACAAACCACCGACGCATTCTGTGGTCTGTGAGTCAAGACGTGCTTTGCTGCTAAACAGTCACACTCTATATGAACAACATATGCATCAAGTTCTCACCTTATAGAGGGCGAATGTTCGCACGCTGTATGTAGCCAGCTCCACAGTGTCCAACATGGTCACCTGAATCATCCCATATGTCTCTGTGCCTCGACTGGGCCAATACTGGTCACACTTCACCTACACACACAAGCACAGTAAATGTACTTACATTTTTACAAATAACAGCGTTGAGGATAGTAGGGGGAGGAAAGAACAGAATAGCTGGCCATCCACACATCCATTTATAACTTTTGTCCAGGACATAATATACAAACAGAAGCAGGTCAGATAGACTGCATTGGATATTAATGAATTCCACAGTAGGATTCCTCATGATTTTGTTGAGTCCACACTTAAACAGTTGACAAACCTGGAAAATGTAGACTATAATACATAATGAATTTAGATATAGGGAAACAGAAACGCAAAGTTTTCCTAATCAAATGACTGCTGTAACTGCCTTCAACACATAGAAGCACTCTTTGATCTAGAATGGGACAAAATCAAATGTCTTCATTCATTTGGTTAAGTTCAGGCACAAAAACAAATTGGATAAGTTAAAGGAAAGATGTGGGCGTATGTTGAAATAAGTAATAAGCGTGTAATATTTCCTGCCCCTCTGGGTGAACCACAGACAGGTGTTAGTGGTTCTGACAGAGGACTGAGGGTGTCTGTCACAAATAATAATGGCGCTCTGCTGTGGCTCTCAGCGCTGCCCTGTGGTTGTGGAGTTATTAACAGTGTGAAAGAGGGCTGACATCATTACTCATATGAACACCGTCTCTACCCGGCTACCTCTAGCGGGAAGCTGTTGCAGAGCCAAGCTCATCTGTACCACGAGAACCGTACATCAGGGTGTCGACGCTCCTCCTCCAGCCCTCTTGTCTATTGTTTCTGTACCCCTGTTTGAAATATATGTCCGACTGTGCAAGAATCTCATTCAGACAATGTTTTTAAATTATAAGCTGCAGTAAGAGTAACTGAACTCAGTGATACCTTTTAATGTGTTTACAGTCAGTCTCTACAGAAAGAATTCAGACCCCTTTGCTTTTTGCAGACTTTATGGTGTAGGAAATCTGATTCCATATGAATAAAAATGTAAGCTTTGCACAACAGCCTAGACTCAATAACCAATAATGAAAAAAAGTAAAGGTAGATTTCAAGACATATTTGCGCAAAAGTGAAATCTCTCATTTACAAATGAACACAAACACAGAGAAGTATGCATATTGAGAAAAGCCAATGGACTCACTAGCCCCGTCACTTGCTCCAGCATGATGTCCTGCTCTCTCTGGACAAACTCCACCTCCCTGAACATGTGACATTTGGCTCCAGCAACTAGAACCCACTCCACTAGCCAAATACCAACAAACCCTAAAGCTTTATTTTTTTATACATTTCTTTTTTAAAGTTTTTTTTTTTTTTGTTGGCATTTTTGCATTTATTGGATAGGACAGCCGAAAGAGACAGAGACAGGAAAGAATGGAGAAGAATGGAGGAAGGACTTGCAGTAAAGGGCCATGAGTGGGATTCAAACCCATGGCCGCTGTGTCGGGGACTATAGTCTCCGTATACGAGTCGCCAGCTCAAACGGTTGAGCTATGTTGGCGGCCCCCTAAAGCTTATATTATAATGCCCACCTCCTCAAGTATACAAGGCTTGGGCATGTGACGTATGTTTTATCATTCCCTAGATCTGTGAAAGTCTATGTAGACTGCTCTGTAGATATCCACGTGCAGTCCATAATTTGTCTGTTTGGCCACTACGTTACAAGGGCAGCGTGTATATGTTTGGGAGTAGTGTCCACGTGTGGAATATGTAGACATATGACCATGTAGACCTACTGCACATGTGGAAAGGAGATTGCAGCAAACTACAAAGTCGTTTAATAATAGTAACAATGCATCCGTAGTTTCTGCTATCGTCTGTGTGCCTATCTGCAAGGGAGTATAACCAAGGGAAAGGGGCTAAACACACCAGGCCCTCACAGAGTCAACTTATGTCACAGTTGTAGCGTTAGAGTGTCTAAATTCATGAGGACTTGAAACGGTATACAAATCAGGAATAAAACACACTACCATGGCAGTACATGTTGCTGGAAAACAACACATTGGCATAAAAAGAAGCAAATTTGGATTTGTCTTTCATTCCCGGCATAATCAGCTGTTTTGGTCGAACACTCCCTGTTGGTCACAGTGCAGTGTAAAAACATTTTTAGCAAAAAGTCAGGAAAGTTATAAACATCTGTAGTTCTTAAGTTTGGCTCAAACAACTCTACAAATGTGCAGTAAACGACCAAAAAAGTGTGCACCCAGATGCTGACGCGGACAGACAACCGTCCTTGCAAATTTCTTCAGTCCACCATCCATGCTTGGTTTGTGCACATTTTGTGGGAGGCAGAGTAATAACGCCTATGCGTCACCAATTTCACCATGAACTATGGGCAAGTCGAAGAGTCTGCAGATATGCAGTCTCACAGACGGTGCATAATAGCGTTGAAAAGTCAGCATCAGAGCCCTTGCGCACTTGACAATTTGACAGCCAAACAGCCCTGAGCCCTTGCACACTTAAGCTGTGCTCACACTGCGGGAATTTTAAAATCCTGACAGATTTTGAAATTGGGTTGCATCATGCACATAAGGAGAAGCTTCACAGATATTCTTCTCTCTAATCTGAGACATGCACGGACTACAAGAATGGAAAACAATGGCTCATAAAACAACTACAGGATATTATTAAGATTAGCGTGCCAGAGGGATCAGTCAGGGAGCAGTGTGTCACCTCATGTGATCTCACGGTGAAGCAGTGTAGCATGTATACACTTATATATAGACTCCGCAGTGAGAAAAAACTAAAGTAGAAGGGTAAATGATAAATCTAGATAAGAAAGTGGCTGTCGAGGTGCAGTCAACATGGGTTGTCTATTCTTCTGTGAGAACTTGAGGTGAGATCTGAACTCTTAGTTTTCGTATCCGTCGCTAATGTTAGAATGTTAAGTGTTGCTTCTATAAAGTGTAAACTGGTTCGGGCGCTAGCATGATAACTGTAACCATCCAGATTTGAACTCATAAAAATATCAAAGATGTTTGACATTATGGGGGTGGCCTCGATCAGACTGTGAGCAGAGACTTAGGTTTCAGACTGCAACAGTGGTGAGGGGACAACCTTCCACCTGAAGACAACTAGACCAGCTAAAACACAATGATGTACTATCTATTATTACAGAAATCTGAGCAGCTTTATACACCTACATTAAGAAGCTACCTGTAAACCAAAGCCATTTGTCAACATGAGAGGCTCACCCGTGACTTCTCCTCTAGGCGGGTCATCATGACGATGGTGCAGGTCCTCTGCTCCCACACCATCCTCCAGAAGTCACTCAGCGTCTCCGGCAGCGGTCCCTGTGTGGCAATGTAAGCATTCTGCTTCCTGTAGCCGTCAATGTAGTTGGCATTTATGTAGTCGCTACCTGGAACTCCTGCAGCCAGGAACAAGTTGGATCAAGTTAGCAAGTGGATTAAAATGGAAGAAGATAAAGTTATTTCTTTCCTACTACTTAGGCTTCCTAATAAAACCCTGTTTGAAATAAAGGTCTGGTCCTCTCTGCAACTCAAGCACAAAGGGAGATGTGTATGTTTCTCACCGTCCACAGGTGTGAGAATAACTCTGGAGTGGTCGTAGGCGATAACATTTGCATAGCGGTTCTTTGGCTTGTTGACCTCCAGGTTGGAGTGCTCCCAGGTAAACTGCTGTCCTGGATCAATAGACTGACAAACGAAGGAGGAGTAGGGAGAAGAATGTAAAGAGTTGGGAGGGAGAGAGAGCAGGTAAGCATTTACTACAACAGTGCCTGCCTTCTTTTCTGTGGTTTAAAGCCTGTCAGAGCTTAGTGTGAAAAGTCCAGACCAATAAATGTGACACAGACATTAATTCATCTTCCCCCCTCCAGCCTGTAGCTCTATAATATGAAAAGCCCTGGATGATCTTTAAGCCCCCTCCTCCTGAAATCCCCTCCAGCCGTCCTCCTACCAGCTCAGTGCCTGCTAGTTAAAGGGAGAGCAATGCAGTGAGGTTGTGGCACAATCATCTGGGATGCACGGTTATGTGCAAAATTATTCATCCTCATGCCAAATTTTGATTCACAGCAATTTTTTATTGGACCAGTAGATTTCTTCTGGCTGGAAATGACATAAACAAGTGACAAAAGATGGTTATACAGAGTTTTAGAGATGGTAATCATATATTTGACCCATTTCTGTTTAAAGAAATATATTTGTCAGTAAGCACTGGCAAAGTCTTTATTTCCCACGTTTACACAGCAACTGAATGGTTCTCATGATTGACAAGCTGGTTGCATATCTCTACCGGGATTTTGTAAGACTTTCTTTTTTGTTGGAAAAAATGTGGCTCCACATACTACAGATATTTCACTATTTACACTCTTACAACCTTTACAAACTGGGGGTTTTTCACAATACTTTGCACATCAGCTTTAGAAAGATATTTCACCATGTTGAATGTATCTTCCAACAACTTGCTGACAACTTGCTCTTCAGTATTCAGCTATTGAACCATGCTGCATTTATTTTATTGATAAAGTATGTTTGATTTATCTCTCAATCTGTCTTGCCATCTCCTCTCTTCTCAGTGGAAGCACATCCTTTGGTTCCCCTGCAAACGTTTTTGTCACTGGTGGCCACAGCTGAGTCAGCCATGGCTTCCCAGTTGTGCTTAAAGGGAAGATTTTTTTTTGTTTTTTTAAAGTGTAATTTTGGAGATTTTTCAAAAGAAAACATCAAAACCTCCAGTGGGTTTTACGGTTCAAAGAGTGAACTTACCAGGCCTGCAGGGACTTGGACCATCTTTCTTTTCTGAGCCAATTACACCATATAAACCAGATTAGCCTCTTCGTGCTCTAGTACAGGTCTCCTAATCATTTATTCAGTATATAAACAAGCAATTGGTTTTAGAGAATTTGTCTACAATGCCGTTTATGTTTGGAACAACATTCTATTATATTTAAAGATGCATGTTTAGTTGACATCTTTACGTCAACACTGAAAACCTTCCTGTATCGATTTTCTCTTACAGCTGCCCCTACAGCTCAAACTTACTCAGGTTGAAAAAATCCTCTAATGTTAATGTTTTTTTTGTGGTTGTTTAAACTTTGATTTTTCAGATTTGTTTTGCTTGCTTCTGTCCATGTTTTCTCTGTAACTGTAATAAGCTGCAGAGTGATTATGCAATTGAAATAAATGAAATAATTAATTCATGTTTGTTGCCTCTTTGCTAATCTCTACTGCTTTTATTGAAATCACGCTACACTAACGCTTTACTGACAACAGGCAGTCTTTAGTCATTTAGTCTGTCAAGGCACAAGCATTGAAGGAGCTAACAGCAGCCATCAGTCGCTAACATGAGCTAGCTGGAGTTCACAGGTGCTAACTAAGTCTAATAGGCACCAACAGGAAATAACAACATCCAACTGGAACTAAAAGGTACTAACAGGAACCACCAAGAGCCAACTGGAGCTCACTGGGGCTCAAAGAATCTAACAGAAGCTAACAGGAGCCATAATGACCAAACAAGAAACATTAGGAGCAAACAAAAGCAACTTGGAGCTCAAAGTAACTAATCGGAGCTAAGGGGAGCTTTCTTTACCTAATATGAGTTAACAAGAGTCATCAGGAGCTAACAGGAGCTTTCTGTAGCTTTAAAAAAAAAAACATACAGGATCCACCAAGAGCTCACACAAGCTATCTGGAGCTAACAAAGGCTAACTAGACCTCAAAGACACTGTGTAGTTTGGCACATTTAAAATTACCTCAGAAATATTCCAGCTTTTGTCATGTTCCTTAATTTCGAAAGAAAGAAAGAAGAGACGACAGCAGATGGTAAAATATACTTCTCTAAATGGTTCTTACAACTTTCTTATTTGTATTCCTATGCATAAAGACCCTGCTGTATGTGAGATGCAAACCAAGGCTGTGTACTGATGTGAACTGCTGCCTGATGATTGGTCTTTATTGATTGCTGTCTGGTAAACAGGTTGAGCTACAATGACGTGCTGCAAATTCATGATGGATCTTCCAGAGTTTCACGGCTCATCTTACATCACCTGGAAAAACCACATACCCATATATATAAACACACACACACACACACACACACACACACACACACACATGGGCAAAACAAAGCAGTGACAAGACTCTAATATCCTGCTGCTTTTTCTCCTCACTGGCTGGACGCTCTGCAACTGATAATAATGACAATGGAGAGAGAGGTTGAATGCACATCTTATTTAACAGCCTGTTAGGTAAGGCTTCCACAACACTGCACTGACAAACCACTCACATTACTGCTAATGCGCTCTGCGAACATGTAGATCAGTTACCGAGATGACAGTGTAATCACACTGCAGCAACACAAAACAAAGCAGGTAAACGCATACAGAGGAACAGCCAGGCGTGAAGCATGTGGATCTGTGTGAGCCAGACTCACACTCAGCACCTGCCACCACATTCGCTGGGTCAAGAATAATAATTGACTTAGCTTTAATACACATTACAGGAGTGATTACAACACAGGGATTAGGTTCCTTGGCACTTGTGATCAAAACAAACTTTAGGTATAGTGTTATGAATAATATACTCATGTCACACCTATTTTTTAAGATGAGTTCATTTGTGCGTAACAAAGAGAGCTTTTGTGACATATTAAAGTTCCTCTAGGGTTATTTTTCAATGTGTATGTATGAGTTGACTGTGTTTGTGTTCACGCACTTGCTTTGTGGATATAGTTATTTACATAAATACATATTTGTCATTTACAAAGGCCTGTTGTCTAACCTTAAAATAGAAACTTTGACACATCATAGCAGGTAAAGCCAATGTTATGCTCCTTAACAGGCTTATAATTATACCTTTGGGTTCTACTAGAGTATGGTTACATGCATTAATAGCAATAATAATATCATTTAGTTTCTCCTTCTGTACATTGCCACAGCTGCAAAAGTCCATTCTGTAAAATGCAGAAGTTGCAAAATCTCAAAAAAATAAGGTTGCCAGTCTCAAGTTTGATTACTACCATTCCCCACACTGACTAGTCTGTTCTGTCCAATGCCAGTAGATCAGTAGATTAAAGAATTTTAAAAGGAAAATTGATTAATGTACATTAAAGAGCCCATCTTTCGCATATTTACAATTTTCAAATTCTATTTTCGGGGTCTGCCTGAACATGTTACATGCTTTACTGTACAAAAATACATTATTTTTCTCATACTGTACATTTCTGCAGAACTTCTTCCTACCCTCTGTCTGAAACACCCTGTTTTAGCCCCTGGCTCTTTAAGGACCCCCTCCTGAAAAACACAGCTCAGATGAAAGTGAGGCTATATAGGTCATGTACCATAACCCCAGTTCTCAGAATATATGCAGCTAGACCTAATAGAAGCTGCTCTTGTAACAAAGTAATAATTCTGTGTTTGAGGGCGTGTAAAATTAGCCGCCAGGCAGGTGTTATGCAAATGAGTAACATGATGATGTAGATAAGAAATGGAAGACAAGCCTTGACTTCAAAAGGAGCGTTTCAGGCAGGTAAGGAGCAGTGTTTTCTGTGGGAGAGATGAACTCCCTTTGGTATGGACTTTGAGCTTTGTAAGTTTGCAAATCTTTTACATGCACAAAAAGAAAGTGTAAAACATGTAGGGAAACAGTGGGTTCTCTAACTCTAAGAAACCCAGGCTATTTTAGCTTTAATTTAATTATCTTCATGTTAAAGCTCTGTGGTCAACATAAGGGCTAGCCACTTACGCTGTATCTGGCTTTTATCAAAACAGTCTGGGCTATCCAGATCCTTCATCCTTATCATCATGTATGATAATACTTGAACATTTTTCACATTCGCCTTTAGCTCATGGAAAAAATAGTTTAGTACTTCGTGCCAAATGGAAATAAATTTAATTCATGTAATATAAGCCCTATATTGGAGACAATGCAGAAATATGTGGTTATTTCAAAACTGAATTATGCTTCGGTGCGCAGAGAAACAACTCGGAACATTGGAAAGAGTGAGTCCTGCGGCTTATTTTGATATGCGGCAGGCCCATGTTATAAAACAAACTTTGTAGCTTATTCAGTTGAGTAGCAGGGTAGTGAAAGTGATTACAGGGATGATTAAAGATATTTCTTTACAGAAATTGAATCTGTTTTTGTAAATCTTCAGTATGGAAAAAACAGGCAGTTCTGTTTTTTTTTTCCTGTAATATGACATTAACATATCAGTACAAAGATATGGTAATATCTATGCAATGTAATCATTCTAAAGATATTAACATATCTAGACTGTAACATATCAGTTCAATGACAAGTTCATGAGTAATTCAAACAAGAGTAATGGGTGTAGAGATGGGCACAGAGCTGCATGTGGGTTGTAACTATGATTTAATTTGATGTCAATTGAAAATTATTTTCCTCGCCCACATTGACCGGCAACTGGCCTTGGGCTAGTCGTGTGGTTTTATTTGATATGCTCTACACCTGACTGCAAATTAAAACGTTGAGATCAATTCAGTTGAGAAGAAGAAATGTGAATTTGGATTCAAAGTGCATCAGTTCAGCTCTCAGGGTTAATAATGGCTGCATTCCACTTATGGGAGCTCCAACTGTTATGCATGCTGGCTTACTGTCATGGCTTACTGGGACATTTAAGCCTTTCCAGCCTGGAGGTCCCTGCCCCGGGGTCAGGCTGCATTTGTTTTTACTGC